AAATACGAGGGGTTCAGTTTCAGTCTCAGTTTTTTCTCTCCTTCACTTTCCCTGAAACGTTTTCAGCATGCTGCCTCTGTGAGTACTACTACTTTATTATAATACTACTTTATATTAATTATACTACTTTATCATTACACTACTTTATTATAATAATAATTTATTATAACTTTGAGCGCCAGGAAAAGCACTGTTTAAATATATTTAAATATGTGTTATTATTATTGTTATTGTTATTATTATTATTATAATATATATATAAAAATAATCCTCGTCCTGATTCGACTGATTTATTGATTTATTGATTGACAGGTTGTCTGTCCAATAAAATGTGTTTATTGATTAAAAGCCAATCAGAGATCAAACTTTCTTTCATCAATAACTAATGATAAGTCATTAATTATTAATACATAAGTATTCATTACTAATTCATATTAATCAATAAGGTTATTAAGTATATTTTTGTAATTAATGTAAATAAAACAATGTTTTATATCAATAATCATGGATTAGTTATAATTATTCCTTTTAAATATTGATCAGTATTGACTGGATTTGGTGAATATTGATCAGTATTGACTGGATTTGGGGAATTATTGATTAGTAATTGATTAGTATTGACTGGATTTGGTGAATTATTGATTAGTAATGACAGTATTTGGTGAATTATTGATTAGTATTGACTGGATTTGGTGAATTATTGATTAGTAATTGATTAGTAATGGCTGGATTTGGTGAATTATTGATTAGTAATGGCTGGATTTGGTGAATTATTGATTAGCATTGACTGGATTTGGTGAATATTGATTAGCATCGATTGGATTTGGTGAATATTGATTAGTAATGACTGGATTTGATGAGTAATAATAGTTATTGATCGGAAGTGATAAGTTCTGTCTCGTATTGTTCTGTTAGTTTTTATAAATAATGATGAAATTAATGAGTATTGGTGGGGATTATTATTCAGATTAGTGAACATTTTGAATAGCTTTAATAAGTATTGATAAATATTGATCAGCTGTTTCTTCACAACAGAAACCTGTTGATCGTGACCATCGTCGTCGTCATGGCAACGTCCGCTTCTATGGCTCCTGTGGAGGGTAAATACACAAATACATATATATATATACTAATACACATATACATGTATACATATATACAAATACATATGTACACATATATAAAAATACATATTCATAAAGATATACTAATACATATGTAAACATATACATATATATACACATATATACAGATACACTAATACATATATACAAATACATATGTTCACACATACATATATATTCATAAAAATATACTAATAGATATATACACATATACATATATATACAGATACATTAATACACATGTTCAACATATGTGCATAGTACATACACATATATAAACATATATACATACAAAAAAAAATGTACATACATATAAACATATCCATATATATTTATACACATACATACAACAACATATACATAAATATCCCGATAAAAACGTCTTAAATCCGCTGTATTTAGGTTTTCTTCATGGTCAATGTATTTTTGTAAGTTGTGTTAGCTAGATAAGACGAAATGTATATATATATATATATATATATATATATATATATATATATATGTATGTGTGTATGTATTTGATATTATTTAGCTCCTCGTCCTCAGTGGAGATTAAAGTGTGAGTGTGTTTGTGTGTGTGTTTTTGTGTGTGTGTGTGTGTGTGTGTGTGTGTGTGTGTGTGTTTGTGTGTGTGTGTGTGTGTGTGTGTGTGTGTGTGTGTGTGTGTGTGTGTGTGTGTGTGTGTGTGTGTGTGTGTGTGTGTGTGTGTGTGGTGTGTGTTTTCAGAGAAGGAGCCGGAGGAGCTGGAGGAGGGGGAGCTGTCTGAGGAGGAAGAGGAGGAGGGTAGGTGTGAGTGTGTGTTTGAGTGTGTGTGTGTGTGTGTGTGTGTGTGTGTGTGGTGTGTGTGTGTGTGGTGTGTGTGTGTCTGTGTGTGTGTGTGTGTGTGTGTGCGTGCGTGCGTGCGCGCTCGCGCGCGCGTGCGTGTGTGTGTGTGTGTGTGTGTGTGTGTGTGTGTGTGTGTGTGTGTGTGTGTGTGTGTGTGTGTGGTGTATCTCATGTTGCTGAATGGGAACTCGTTAAAACTCTCTTTATATACAGAAGCTGAAACAGACTAAACTTATAATCAGATATTTGCCCAATGCTTTATAACATGAATCCTAACCGTCTCGCTTTCAGCTATAAGGTCATAATACTTGTAATATTAAGAAGTATTCAAATGTAACGTGTTATTCCCATAACTGTAATCCATAATACTCTTTCATAATGCATTATGCAATAAATGATACCTTTATAGCACAATCTTATCAAAGAAAGCATTTTCAAACTGTTTTTATTAAAGAGCTGATTAAATATAAAGAAGTAATAAAGTGTTCAGAGGAGTTTGTGATGTGAATAAACTTCTTTAATTAGTGGAATAAATGTTGGATGTTTTTTCTTTCAGATGATGATGATGACTCCAAGAGTCAGGATAATTTTGAGGGTGAGACCTTTAACCTAAAAATAAACCTGCATAAACACATTAAAGATGATAATCCCCCGTCTGTTATTACCATCTGAAAATACTCCCTATCTGTTATTACCATCCAAATCTGTTATTACCATCTGAAAATACTCCAAAATCAGTTATTACCATCTGAAGATACTCCCAAATCTGTTATTACCATCTGAAAATACTCCCTATCAGTTATTACCATCTGAAAACACTCCCTATCTGTTATTACCATCTGAAAACACTCCCTATCTGTTATTACCATCTGAAAATACTCCATAATCAGTTATTACCATCCAAATCTGTTATTACCATCTGAAAATACTCCCTATCTGTTATTACCATCTGAAAATACTCCCAGGTCTGTTATTACCATCTGAAAATACTCCCAGATCAGTTATTACCATCTGAAAATACTCCCAGGTCTGTTATTACCATCTGAAAATACTCCCAGATCTGTTATTACCATCTGAAAATACTCCCAGATCAGTTATTACCATCTGAAAATACTCCCAGATCAGTTATTACCATCTGAAAATACTCCCAAATCTGTTATTACCATCTGAAAATACTGTCGGATCAGTTATTACCATCTGAAAATACTCCCAAATCTGTTATTACCATCTGAAAATATTCCCTATCTGTTATTACCATCTGAAAATACTGTCAGATCAGTTATTACCATCTGAAAATACTCCCAAATCTGTTATTACCATCTGAAAACACTCCCAAATCTGTTATTACTAGGGATGCTCCGACCGATACTCACTCTCTGCCGATCGATCGGTGCTCTCTGAAAATGCTGACGTAAAATAATGACGTAAAATACATGACTATTTTTGACCAAAATGGCTTCACCAGTCTGACAGTATTTTAAGGTGTCAGAAAATGTCAATAAAATAGCGGTATGCAACGTGTGTGAAGCAGAA